GAGCATTCTGACTGTACCTCTTCCAACACAGATTTGTTTGTTCTTATGGCTGTCCTTTGTACTCTCAATATTCTTCTTTGACACTGTAACTCAAATGTATCAGTTCTTCTATGGTCTTCCTTATTCAAGATCCAACTTTCACATGCAGATGAGGCTATTGAAAATACCCTGGCTTGGGTCAAATGTACCTGGTGTTTTTGCTCTTGAACACTTTACAGAGGTCTTGTACAGCATATTTATCTATTGCAATATTTAATTTAATTTCTTGACTACTGTTTAAAGTTCACTTAATCAAAGAACATAATAATACAAAGAAACAAACTGCCATGAAAAGAATTCAACAGAAATGACAATAGATTAAGTCTTTCGAGTACCCCAGAGGCTATCCGATATTAAAGTAATCAATATAAAATATCTATCATACTTTTTAAAAATCAACAGCAAAAATAAATGATCCCATATAACTTATAACTCACCAAAAAGACAAACAGCCCTATCAAAAATCAGGCAAAGGACTTGAATAGACATTTCGGCAAAGACAACTGATACATGACCAACAAACACATGAAAAGATGGTTGACAGCATTAGTCATTAGGGAAGTACAAGTCAAAACCATGATGAGATACCAGTTCACACTCACTGAAATGACTTTTTTTTATAAGAAAATAAGTAGTGTTGGTGAGGATGTGGAGAAATTCGTTGTCCACTGCTGGTAAGATTGTAAAATGGTATAGCCATTGTGGAAAATAGTTTGACAATTGCTCATAACGACTATATATATATATATATATACTCCTAGTGTATATACACATGGAATGCTGGTGCGGCGCTGTAGGATAAGCAATAGACCACTAGACCGCAAGGTCGTTTTGAACTACAAGGTTGGAGGTTCAAACCCACCAGCTGTTCTTTGGAAATTCTATAGAGTGTTTTTGAGTCAAAACAAACTTGATGATATTTTACAACAGTAACAATGTATATATACACACACATATATATGTGTGTGTATATGTGTGTATATATATGTGTGTGTATATATATATATACACACACACACACACATGGGTGACCCTATATAAGGTTTCCGAAACTATAAATCTTTACAAGAGCAGACAGCCTCATCTTTCTCCCTCAGTTTGAACCACTGACCATGCAGTTATCAACCCAATGCCTAACTCTCAGCAATACCAGGGCATGTACATGCACATAAATGCCTACTAAGGTAGATATTGAGAGTCCTTGTATGGTGCTGCAGGTTAATACACTGGACTTCAAAGTTGGTTTGAATCGTAAAGTCAGAAGTTCGAATTCACTAGTTGCGCCTCAGAAACACTATACAGGGTTACTATGCATCGACCTTAATAACAATGTAGATATTAATGTCCCTGTTTTTCAGTTAAGGAAATTGAGCTTCAGAAAGGTTAATTAACATACACAAGACTCTTAAGTATTCAATGGCAAAGATGGATTTCAATTATACCATTCACTTGGCAAATAGTATATATCTAAGGAATAAAAGATTTAAATTAATTTATATTGTTGTCTGCACTGAAATTTAGGGTTTCATGAAAACAAATTTCAAAGAAGCCAGAATTATTTTCAAGGAAAAATTCGACATGCTCATTATTAACTAACAGCAGGATTTAGGAATCCACTAAAACAGTTTGAAGCCAAACATGAGATCATGTCTGGAAAGAGTTATGGATTGAATAATGCCCCCCCCCAAATATATGTTGTAAATCCTAACCCGTATGCCTATGGAAGAAGACTCATTAACAACGTGGGCTATGCAGATGGCACAGCCTTACTTTCTAGAAGCAAAGAGGACTTAAAATACTTACTGATGAAGATTAATAACAACCTTCAGTATGAATTGCACCTCAATGAAAAGAATACAAAAACCCTCACAACTAGACCAATAAATAACTTTATGAGAAAATACATTTGTTAAAGCATCTACTTGTATTTTTGTTGTGACAACACTAAATAACTATGACTGGAAGGTTTAGATTAAAGGGATTCAAAAGATGTTCTATCATTCTATACTTTTTTCTGAGGTCATATAGTGTGATGCAAAATGAATCACAACAAAGTGGACCCTCTCTAGGCTTCTTGCTGTAAGGTAGATAACATTCAACACATACTTTACCCTTTCTTTTTGCCTTTTCTAGGGTTACACGTCTTTCTGGAATGACTGCATATCATCTGGCCTGAGAGGAGGCATTCTAATAGAACTGGCCATGCGGCGTCGAATCTCTTTGGAACCGCCAACCCTGCGTAAGAAGAGACTACTAGATAGAAAGGTATAGCATTTTCTGTAATATCCTCTTAACTTCTGGAAAGGCAGATACAAACAGTTCATTATTTTTTGGAAGAATAGAAATATTTGAGGGGTTGTTATTACTGTTAAGTGCCATTAAGTCGATTTCAACTCATAGATACCCACCCTGTGTAGGGTTTCTGAGGAGCGACTGGTGGGTTTAAACTGCCAACCTGGTGATTCACAGTAAGACAATCAAAATAAATCTCATTGCATTTGACTGCTAACCAAAAGGATGGTGGTTCAAACCCACCAGACTTACAGTGGGAGAAAGATGTGGCAATCTGCTTTTATAGCCTTGGAATTCCTTTGGGGTAGTTCTACTCTGTACTATAGGGTTGGTATGAATTGGAGTCTACTAGAAGTTAACAGGTTAGGTTTTGTTTGGTTTAGATTTGGGGACAAGCTGAGATAATGATATATATTTTGATGGCCTTACTGTGAACCACAAAATTCCAGTAGTCTATAGAGTTATAATAGGTTCATATTTTGTCTTTCTTTTTTAATGCAGAAAAGTCACATTTAAAATGTTGTTACATATTTTTTCTTCTATATTTATATAATTGTGAAATAGAGTATTATGTGTTGTTGTTAAGTGCCAGCTAGTCAGTTCCAATTCATTGCAACCCTATGCACAACACAATGAAAGACTGCCCCATCCTTTGCCATCCTCACAGTTGTTACATTTGAGCCTATTACTTCTGCATTTGTGGCAAACCATCTCCTTGGGTGTCTTCCTCATTATCACTGACACTCCACTTTACCAAGCATGATAACCTTCTCCAGGGATTAGTCCCTCCTGATAACATATCCAAAGTATGAGAGATGAAGTCTTGCTATCCTAGCTTTTAAGGAGCGTTCTGACTGTACTTCTTCCAAGACAGGTTTGTTTGTTCTTATGGCAGACCTTGGTACTTTTAATATATTTCTCTAACACCATAATTCAAATGCATAGATTCTTCTGCTGTCTTCCTTATTCATTGTCCAACTTTAAAATGCATAAGAGTTGATAGATAATATCATGGCTTGGGTCAGGTGTACCTTAGTCCTCAAATTGATATCTTTGCTCTTGAACACTTCAAAGAAGTCTTGAGAAGCTGATTTGTCTAATGTAATATGTCCTTTGATTTCGTGACTGTTGCTTCTATAAGTGTTGATTGTGGAACCAAGCAAAATGAAATCTTTGACAACTTCAACTTTTTTTCTATTTATCATGATGTTATTTATTGGTCTAATTGTGAGGGCTTTTGTTTTCTTTTCATTGAGGTGCAATCCATATTGAAGGCTGTTGTCTTTGATCTTCGTCAGTAAGTATTTCAGGTCCTCTTTGCTTCCAGCAAGCAAGGTTGTATCTTCATATCTCAGATTATTTATGAGTCTTCCTACAATCTTGATGCCACATTCTTCTTCATACAATCTGGCTTCTCAGATCCTATGCTCAGTGTAAAGATTGATTAAATATGTTGAAAGGATACAACCCTGTCTCACACTTTCCCTGATTTTAAACCACATAATATCCCCTGGTTCTTTTCGAATGCCTGCATACAGGTTCCTCATAAGCACAATTAAGTACTCTGGAGTACTCAGTCTTCACAATGTTATCCATAGTTTGTCATGATCCACTCAGTCAAAAGTCTTTGCATAGTTAATAAAGCTCAAGTAAACATCTTTCTCATATTCCCTGCTTTCAACGAAGATCCATGCGACATCAGCAATGATAGCCACGTCCTCTTCTGAATCCAGCTTAAAATTCTGGCAGTTCCCTGTCAATGTACTGTTGAAGCCATTTTTAAATTATCTTCAGCAAAATTCTACTTGCATGTGAGATTATTGATAGTATTTGATAATTTCTGCATGTCACTGAATCACGTTTCTTTAGTATGAGCACAAATATGGGTCTCTTCCAATCAGTTGACCACTTAGCTATCTTTCAAATTTTTTGACATAGATGAGTGAGCCCCTCCAGCACTGCATCAGTTTATTGAAATATTTCAATTTGTATTTCATCAATTCCTGGAGCCTTGTTTTTCACCAATACCTTCAGTGCATCTTGGACTTATTCCTTTAATACCATTGGTTCTTGATCATATGCTGCCTCTTCAGATGATTGAACATTCATCATTTCTATTTGGTACAGTGACTCTGTGTACACCTTCCATTTTATTTTGATGCTTTCTGCATCATTCTATATTTTGCCCATTTGTTGTTGTTGTTAGGTGTCATCGAGTCAGTACCAACACATAGCGACCCTACACACAATAGAATGAAACACTACCCGGTCCTGCACCAACCTCACAATCGTTGCTATACTTGAGCCCATTGCTGCTGCCCCTGTACCAATCCATCTGATTGGGGGTCTACCTCTTTTTCACTGACCCTCTTCTTTACCAAACATGCAGGGACTGCTTCCTCCTGATAGTATGTCTGAGTATGAGAGACAAAGTATGGCCATCCTGGCTTCTAAGGAGCATTCTGGTTGTACTTCTTCCAACACAGATTGGTTTGTTCTTTTGACAGTTCATGATACTTTTAATATTCTCCCTACCTAGCACCATAACTCATATGCATCAGTTCTTCTATGGTCTTCCTTATTCTTTGTCCAACTTTCACATGCATATGAGCTCATTGAAAAAACCATAGCTTGAGTCAGGCACACCTTAGCCCTCAAACTGACCTCTTTGCTCTTGAGCACTTTAAAAAGTTCTTGTGCAGCAGATTTGCCTAATGCAATATATCATTTGATTTCTTGACTGCTGCTTATATGAGTGCTAATGGTTGATCTGAGCAAAATGAAGTCTTTGAACTTCAATATTTTCTCCATTTATCTTGATGTTATTTATTGGTCCAGTGGTAAGGACTTTTTGTTTTATTTACAATGAGGTGCAACCCATATTGAAGGCTGTGGTCTTTGATCTTCATCAGTAAGTATTTAAGTCCTCGCTTTTAGCAAGCAAAGTTGTATCATCTGCATATCACAGGTTATTAATGAGCCATGTTTTTCTGCATATAATCTAGTTTCTCGAATTATTTGCTTAACATATAGATTGAAAAAGTATAGAATCCTTCAATACTGCAAGTGCAGGCTTAAATTTTGTATTCAGTTTTTTTCAGCTTTTGACTTAACTAACTTCACATCTTTGTATATTTTGTTATAATGCTTTGTCTCTTTGAGCTGACCTTTAAA